TGCAGTTAGTTAAATTCGATTTCCATGAGACTAATTTTCCGAGAAATCCCAGATAAACATGAAGGAAAACACGATCCTGTCTGAGGATTTTCTTAAATATGAATATACAGTAGATTCTAATTGATGCTAGCGCATATTATATGCACTGTAAAAGGACAAAAAGGACCCGTTAATTGAACGCACAGGAAACTGAAGGAGTGCCCGGGAGTTTTGACTATTGGATTATGCAGACCCCAGCTTGCGACCCTACCACCCACCTTTTCAAGCGAAATGGAAGGTACACCTTAATGGAGAATATCAAAACGATGAATTGGAAAGCCCCAGCAACTAGAAATAATAAAAAAAGATGAATATGCCATTACTGTTCTATTAAAATAGTGCTCCACATTGAGCGATGGCAGTTTTTATAGTTATAGTATAGTATATCCATGTAAAGATAACTTTGATAAGAAAGTATGAGAAGCATGAGATAAAACAATATGAATCTAGACAGGCAGTTATCAAAGGTTCGCATGAATTGAATTTCATCGAAATGACGCTTGAATGGTAATCTGAGAAAATAATGTGTAAGATAGAAAAGACGAATTAAGAGGTGTAGAATAGGGTTGTTTGGTGAATGGGTAACATCTGCCTAGGTAGAGGCGATTTGGGCTGATACAATGGCGTTATCAAGAGCCAGCAACGTCGAATCGTGAATTGGCATAACCTCAGAAGCTAAAAGAATGGCTGGATCGCTGAGAAGAGGACTCTCTGTCTTGTCTTGCTCTGAGGGTCTTGGATCCTCTGTTAGACTGAGACGGAGCGATTCTCGCCAATCCGGCGCAAATCCTACAGCATCTTCCTCCGTCGGGCCAAGAGGCTCACGCAACAGCTCAACGCGGGAGGAAGTGGTTGCAGCCGAAACAGCATTGCGAAGAGCCTCTAGCGAGCGTGAGGGCGCCTCTGGAGTGGTCTTATTTGTGACTGATGCAACGTTCTGATTTCTTTAATAAAAAGAATAGATATGCATATATATATATTTAGCCATTTATGATAAGGCTCTAAGGGTATGCTAACTTGGGGCTGGGTGAGACAGTTTGTTGTCCTTCCTAAGTACATTAATAACCTAAGGCAAATAAGAGCATATAAATCGAGAGAATCGTTAGAAGCTCACTCATGATTAAATTGGCAGATTATCTACGAGTTTGATAACTGGAGCTGAGTGCAAAAATCTTTGAAAGCTAGGACTGAGTACCGTTTAGCACGAAATTATCTAATGCGAAACCAAATCAACAAGATCAATATAAAATAAGATCCAGATTTAACTAGCGTATTGCCTACAAAGGATGCAATGAACAGATAGGAAAACTGGCATTGCAATGTCAAACTGTTATAGTAGTGAAAAGTGTTCAAACTTGGTTATGACAACTATCCACATTAAATCGTAGATCGCAAAACCAAGATTTATGTGGCAGTCACTTTTAGCTTTAAAGTTTTGGTTCTACTTTGTTATCGCAACTTAGTCGGAACATCAAGGAAACCTTGGGGAACGTACTTGATCCCGTGTCCTCTGCCATAGTATTCGTGATTTCCAGTATTGGACCATTGACTTGGTACATTCCCAAACGTTTCGCTGACATAGTCAGTGAGAAGCGCCATCGTAAGCACAGAATTACAAATTATCAAAGTGACAAGTAAAGGCAGTCCCCTTGACCAATTTTCTGTTCAACCGCTGTGGCATCACTCTTCACCCCTATTTTCGTTCTACCTTCTAGTGCCGTATATCTTCCTCTCAACCCCACAGCATATGGCCCATACACTTATTCTTACTCATACGAAAGGATGCAAGAGCCAAAGTAGCATACGGTTTGCGGAAGGTACACAAAGAAGGGGAACCATAGACTGATAGTCAACCACAAACATGGACCGAAACATAAATTGGCGACATTTATTTGCCTCAAATTAAAGAAAGTGAATAACAGATTATCGAATAGTAAAAAACTCATACGAATTTTGCCAAGGCTCAAGCTTGGAAGGAAACAACTTTAGGTGAGCTTTGATGTACAGTTCATGTACACTAACATCACAGGAGACAAAGAACTCACCACACTACTGGAGATCTTGGGAAAAGAAAATGACATCCTAGAGACAGCGAATGCGATCAATCAACCTAACAATAAGAACGACCTATTTCACGTTCAACGGCCGCATCTATGAGCAAATATTTAGTCTGCCTGTGGGCTCATCACTCTCATCTCTGTTGGCTAATGTCTTCATGGACAAGTTGGAGGTGAATTTCAAAATGTCACCCCAGCAGCCAACAGTAATTATGCGTTATGTGGATGACTACTTCGCAATTTGATCGCATGTAAAAGAAAAATTAGACGATTTCCTGGTCTTCATAAATAAAATGGATGAACGGATACTTAGCGTTTTTGGATGTGTAAGCCATTCACTCCGAGAACTCTCAAGAAAAAACTTTTCCGAAAGAAATCACATGCTGGAATAACTGTTAACTTCTAGTCGAACCATACCTATGGGATGAATATTGGAATACTGCAGAATATGTTCATAAGTTTACGACTCACTCATTCTGAGTTATAGGAAGATTAGCTCAGATGTTTCTTAGAAACGGATATACAGAAGAAGCAATACAACGCAACATACGGAAGGACGGATTATGAAAGGAAAGCAAGAGGAGGAGCGGAAAAACTCTGGATATGTCTACCCTCCTGCGAATTAGTTCGGGAGCTACAGCCAATAATAGGGAAATGCAACATTCGCACAATCCTACTGGAAAGGACAATCCTCTTCACCAACTTGCCCACACAAAGTGAAGAAGTCAACAAAATGGAGTGTTCCCGAATTTACAGCATAAACTGCAGATTGTGAACAAAGATACATCGGAGATATGGAAAGGACAATCAGCACAAGGATCGAAGAACACCAGCGACTATGCAGAACAATGGATACGGAAAGATAGGAGATAGCTGAACACATCGTCATTACCGACCACACAATTGACTGAAATGCAACGGAAGATAAGGGAAGCTTTGTACATCCTCTTTCAAGGAAACCCGATGAACAGAAGATTGGAAGAGGGAATAATCAGCGATACTTTTGCGTACTGCCTGAGCCGACTTGGAGCTTCAGCGAATACATAAAAAAGAAGACGCATGTACCCAGGACAACTATAAACAACAAGAGAGATCACCAAGGGACGACTCATTAGGAACAAATGAAAGTCAAGAAAAGGCGAATACACTGAGAGAAGTTAGACGTAAAATGGGGGGAAAAATGTACCCAGGGGGTTCACCTGTGAGAAGTACGATATGAAATTGAAGGCTAAAGGTATAGGTCGGCTAGATAGAGGTCACCAGTGTGTGTCATGTGTATTTTTCGTATGTGTCGGAAGGAGAGGTGATTAATAAGAAACTTTACAAGGGGGCGATACCAACTAACACACACACACACAGGGATATTACCACAGAACCTAGTATTAGATGGGAATGTCAACTTTAGAGACTAGAGGAGTGTGCTTTTCGAGATTCAAAGGAGAAAAATGAAAGCGGTGCATTTTCACACCAACAGTTACGACTTAAGCCAGACACAGGGCCCAAAATAATGAGACACAATGTGGGTAGGGATGAGAGAGAGGATAATTGAATCATAGATTCCCAGACACTGGTATGTGCATGGACATTGACATCGTCTGCTCTAAATCTTCAAATATGGCGTAATCGATTACGGGAATGAAAGGCTCTTAGGCAGCCAAACAGTGATGTTTAGCAGAAGTCAATTGACAAGCGGGCAAGGAAAAAAATGGGGGCAGAATGCAGACAAGGAGCCCTGCAAGCTACATCTGGTATCGATGGTGGAGATTATTACTCTTCCAAAAACCCACTTGTAGCCCACACTAGAAGGTAGAACAAAAATAGGGGCGAAGAGTGATGGTACAACGGTTGAACAGAAAACTGGTCACGGTGATTACCTTCACCTGTCACTTTGAAAAGCTGTAATTCAGTGCTTACGATGACGCCTCTTACTAATGATGTCGGCGAAACGCTTGAGAATGTACCCAGCCTATGGTCCAATGCTGAAAATCACGAATACTATGGCAGAGAACAAGGGACAAAGTCCGTCCCATAAGGTTTCCCTAACGCTCAGACCAAGTTGCGAGAACAAGGTCGAACCAACAGTATAAAGCTAAATGAGATTGCCACCAGACAGAAGGCCACACAATCTTGGTCTTTATATCTCCGATAGCTGTCTAAGCTCTGGTTTATCATATGATGGACATCAGTAGAGCTAGAACTCATTTCTGTAAGTCTCAAGTTAACGCTTTGCCAAGAAGACTGTTCAAGTCTATCTTACCTCCTACATATACTCATTACTAAAAACGAAAATGTATAGTTATAGAGAGATATAAAATAATTTGGCTAATTCCTTGATTTCATGATTATGGCATCAGGCTTTCTTAATCATTCTGATTCAGGACCGGTATTGCGTATACACATTAAAACACACACTCAATTAAAAGTGCAGTAACCAATATAGAAGGAAATCAGCCAAATCATTATATATATATATCTGTCTATATTTTAGTTTCCTAATAATGAATATATATATATATATATGACGTAAGATAGAGCTGGAAAGTCTTCTTCGCCTAGTGCTTGAGACTTTTACAAAAATGAATTTCGATTCTGATAATGTCCCTTATATGACAAACGAAAGCCTATTCAATTTCGCCCGAAATGAGAGAGAATGTCTCGTGGACTGCGTCATCCCGGATGTTGTATTAAAGCTAAATGGCTTCAGTAAAGCACGAATCAGCCGTCGTCTTCAGATGATATCGATTTACGTATCTCTACACCATCCACTTACATACGAAATGAGTATCCTCAACAATGGTATTGATCGAAACCCTGCTATTCTTCGTATCCAGAAGTAAAGACGCTTGAATATAAAGATTGAGTCCTCCTGGTCACAGAAAATGAAGAAATTAGTGAGATGGAATTGAATAATGATACATTAACCGTGTCAATAATACTAGCAGCGGATTTTAAGGTGCCGAGCGTTTAAAAGAAGCGTCTTTCTAGCTAAAAAGGATGCAAGCAAATTGTCTGCTAGCCAGAGATGAATTCGATTATCAGGGAATAAGAATGCAGAATATATTATGTTAATAAAAGACATATTACGATACATGTACTGTAAATGGTTAGTTCACGTAAAATTAGGACAACAGCTTTTCCAAAATAGCCGAGTGTAATACATAAGTCGATACACATGCAAGCCTGTACGCAAGCTAAAATAAGAATTCACTCATTATGGACAGACTTAGTCAAGTAAAAATCTGAGAACGAAA